TTGTACTTAAATCTCCAGAACTGTTATGTGACACCATTAATTTTAAATCATGGCTGTAAAGTTGTTAAAGTTCTTGGGTAGAACATTTAACCAAAAACTTTAACAACTTAAATCTCCAGAACTGTTATGTGACACCGTTAAGTTCACGCTCATTTGTACTTAAATCTCCAGAACTTTTATGTGACACCATTAAGTTCACGCTCCCTTGTACTTAAATCTCCAGAACTGTATTGTGACACAGTTAAGTTCACGCTCATTTGTACTTAAATCTCCAGAACTGTTATGTGACACCGTTAAGTTCACGCTCATTTGTACTTAAATCTCAAGAACTGTTATGTGACACCATTAATTTTAAATCATGGCTGTAAAGTTGTTAAAGTTCTTGGGTAGAACATTTAACCAAAAACTTTAACAACTTAAATCTCCAGAACTGTTATGTGACACCGTTAAGTTCACGCTCATTTGTACTTAAATCTCCAGAACTGTTATATGACACCATTAATTTTAAATCATGGCTGTAAAGTTGTTAAAGTTCTTGGGTAGAACATTTAACCAAAAACTTTAACAACTTAAATCTCCAGAACTGTTATGTGACACCGTTAAGTTCACGCTCATTTGTACTTAAATCTCCAGAACTGTTATGTGACACCGTTAAGTTCACGCTCCCTTGTACTTAAATCTCCAGAACTGTTATATGACACCATTAATTTTAAATCATGGCTGTAAAGTTGTTAAAGTTCTTGGGTAGAACATTTAATCAAAAACTTTAACAACTTTACAGCCATCAAACGACAGTAGCAACTTCTTAATTTAAGAACATTATGCATGTTAGCCAGAAAACCCGGAACTGACGGTCAGATACCATAGTTTGTGCAGTTGTTAAATTAGAAGTGTTTTTTTTTTCTTAAATTTTATGAAGTGTGAAGAAACACGATAAGCAGAGTCTATAGATAAGACGGCGTTCTTTTTTGCGTCATATCCAAATATTGGATGCAAAGAGATTGGAATAAGAATGCAACAACCTTGAAAATGGTAATAAAGCGGTTTTATAAGAAATGTTTACCATTTTTAGTGGCCATTGTGCTCTTTTGTGGTGTATGCATAATATATTTTTGCGTCAGTTTCTGCTCTGAAGATATAATTGCTACTAAAAATGGTAAACTTTTTCAAGATGGCAGAACTCAAGCACTTTATCTAAAGGCTAGAAAGATGCATTCGCAAAATAAATATAGGTACCTAGGTGTATTTTTAAGTAAACGATGTTCGTTATATAACCGCAGTGCTGTTTTATCGTGGTTGCCTTTGTTCCCTTGTCAGACATTAACATACAACTTGAGTTTCACTTACTTTGTACGTCAATAAATTTCTCTTTTTATAACATGGATATTTCATTGTTTCGCTACTCATGCGTTCTCCTTTTTAAGAGAATTTAGTATTTCTAGACAATTGAAAAACACTTAACTTATCCGAAATACAGAGAATTCTATCAAGAATTGAACTTTGTGGATTGGGGTTGATCATTCTCCGTGTAGCTGCTGTGTAGAAAAACGTTTTTACTGCTTTTACATCTTCATGATGAAACTCCTGTCACAGTCAAAGAAAGAAAAATTGGACTAATTAGCTGTTTCCCAAAACTTAGGAGTATAATGTCACTTGACGATTATATTGAGTTCAGACTCTTTGTTCTGGATAAAAAAAAAAAACATCAGTTGTTGTTTGTTGTGCGGGAAGCTACGTAGATGTTACCTTAAAGTGTAAATAAAGCGAGTTGTTTTCATGAAAGATGGTAATGTTTGACAATTAACAAAATTTAAAGTCGTTTGTTCTGAAGGAATGTTGATATAGTGGATGATTACATAGAATTTAAAATTTGTTTGATCTTGGAGAAGAAGTTAACTGATAAGACATTATGTTAAATATAGTGGTATGTATTCTTACCCGAGGTGCGGATTTTTGATCGTTAAATAAATTTAGAGGCCCGGCATGGCCAGGTGGTTAAGGCACTCGACTCGCAATCTGCGGGTCGCGGGTTCGAATCCCCGTCACGCCAAACATGCTCACCCTTTCAGCCGTGGGGGCGTTATAATGTTGCGGTCAATCCCACTATTCGTTGGTAAAAGAGTAGCCCAAGAGTTGGCGGTGGGTGGTGATGACTAGCTGCCCTCCCTCTAGTGTTACACTGCTAAATTAGGGACGGATAGCGCAGATAGTCCTCGTGTAGCTTTGCGCGAAATCCATAACGAACAAACAAATCAATTTAGAAATCAAGAATTGCTTGTTATGAAGGGACAAATTATTTTTTAGAATGTAATATAAACGAGTAATTGTGAGAAACGTAATTCCATTTTTTTTTCTTTAAACTGAATTCAAAACATATAATTGGATAGAACTCCGTCACTACTGTATAAAGAAATTATCAAAGCTTATTTACTCCATTGTGTGTATAGCACCCGCTACAAACAGGTTATAAAGGAACTTTACAAATGTGTTTATGATTAGAGTTCGTTTTCCTACCTCGTGTACTTTTGTCTTTTTTGCTTTGAAATTTTTTGTTAAAGAAAAGTTAGCTTTGAGAACAGTCTTGGATTTTCCAAACAACTCGTAAGTTCAACGTCAATAAAAAAAAATATGTCAAGTTATCGAAAAATTGCTTATTTGTTGTTAAGCATGAAGCTCCACAATGAATTATATTCATGCCGTGCCTACCTCGGGTATCGAAACTAGTTCTTTAGCGTAATAAACCATTAAACTTACCGCTAAGTCACTGAGAAAACGTATCTCCTACTTATCAACTGATAGGTTGGATTTTTAATCAAAGTATATATATATATCTAGTGAATACTTGTTTATATTAACTGAATTTATCAACGTATCTCCTATTTATCAACTGATAGGTTGGATTTTTAAACAAAGTATGTATATATATATATAGTGAATACTGTTTATATTAACTGTTTATATTAACTGAATTTATCAACGTAGCAGCTGTAACCGGCTATCTTGAATTGTTGTTGTTTGTTACCCCCCAGTAGAACAACGGTATGTCTGCGGACTTACAACGCAAGAAACCGGGTTTCGATACCCGTGGTGGGCAGAGCACAGATAGCCCATTGTGTATATTAAGTTGTATCTTTAAAGTTAATGTCATTAAATTTGTTTGTTTTTATTAACCACAAAGCTAAACAATTGGCTGTTTATGCTGTGTCCACCACTAGTATCGAAACCTGGTTTTTAGCAGTGTGAGCCACCAGATTTACCACTGAGTCGTTTGGGGGGGGGATTTTAGCTGATCCATGTAGTTATATAATGTGGAGAAGTGAATAGTGGCCGATGACACTTTTTCTTTATTTCACCTATCCAGTATATAGGTTTTTTCTCATAGTGACTACAAAGTATGTTCACTCCAACGGTATGTTTGATAGCTTGCTTTGACTTGAAACTATTGATAAACTATGACCATAAAAGCAATATTCTTAACTGCAATTAATGGATTACCAACTTAGGATATACTATAGGTTATTAGCCATTTGCAAGCACTGCGCTCAAAAAGCCGTTAATATAACTTTTCGCGACAGTTATTGTAGTCTGAAAGTGAAGAAAAATAAAGGTTAGGTAATGCTGAATAACACTCACATTAGGGTAAACACAATAGTAATGTTTTATTTACCAGAATACTGTTGTTTAGGCTTTACATGCTGTTTTAATATTAATGAAAAGCTAAGCCTTAAAAGTCTCCAACCAATTATAATTTCGCGAATATTTTACAAAATTGCACTTTGCCAGAAAGTAAAACGAAATGCTTTTCCATATAACAAGATTTAATTTTGTTTTTTACTTACGATAATGTAAAGAAATCTAGGTTACGCTAGTTGTAATTTTTACTGAGGGGTACTGGTGATACCTGAACTTTATAATGCCTCTAAACTTCTAATTGGTTTCTTAAAGCATTAATTTCTCTCTTATTGAAGTGCAACTTTATAAGGATGGAGAAAAGTACTCAAAAAACCAAGTACAAGGGATTCTTTATACGAGCATGATTGGTTGGCGTGTACTGAGAGGTTAATGAATAAAAGCAACTTAATACATATAGCTATTGCCGTGTGTGTTAGGCTTAGAACTGAGGCTAGTAATGAAATTCTCAGTACTGACGTTATACATCAAGCAAGAACATGTGGTGATGACAGTCGGAAGAAATTATTAGATCGAAGGTAATAAATCAGTCCTTATATTTGTGCGTAACACTTAGTTACGCAAACAAAACCGTATTTATTTATATAAAATATGGGATAGCAGGAAGGGAAAGAGGTCATTTCTCTGTAACTTGTAAGTGTTTTTTCTTTTAAGATACACTAACCTTTCATAATATTCTGATGTTGGTATTACCCTACTTAAAACTCCCATATCTGCTGACATCTTTGATAATATTATATTAGTATTAACCTGCTAAAATCTACTACTAGTAGACCCACAAACACCTTTCATAATATTCTGATATTAGTATTACCTTAATTAAATCTTTCAAACATACAGACAACTTTCATAATATTCTGAAGTTAATATTAACCTGCTTAAATCACCCAGACGTACAGATACCTTTTATAGTATTCTGATTTTAATATTAACCTGCTTAAGCCTCCCCTTAATAGATATCTTTCATAATATTCTGATGTTAACATTACCCTGCTTAAATCTCCCAGACTTATACACACCTTTTATAATATTATGATGTTAATGTTACCCTACTTAGACCTCCCAGACCAAAATATATCTTTCATAACATTCTGATTTTAATATTACCCTATTTAAGCCTGTTAAACTCAGAAACAATTTTCGTAACATGTTGATGTTAATATTACTCTTCTAAAACTTTCAAGGCCTAAAGAAAACTTTTATAATACTCTAATGTTAATATTACCCTGTTAAAATATCCCAAAATTCTATGAATTAAGGTATTTTAAGTGAGAATCCGATACAGTTAATAACTAATGTTAATTACATATATAATATAACTACTGATACAACTATTTTATATTTCTATATTCTTCAACTCAGATTTGCATGGAAAACAAAATATTTGCATCTCTAAAGTGCTGGAATCATTAATAGCATAACACCTGAGTGGTATTACTTGTAATTTACTCAATGTAGCAAATATTAGAAAATTAATTAGAAAGTTAGTTTCCTTCAATAAGGTCACACGTAAATCAAAGAATGTTCTATTTATCAAATCAAACTCGAGCATAGTCATGGAAAAAGTATTTACTAAACTCGGAGTAATATATGACAGCTTTAACTTGACGTTCAACTTGACATGGGGATAATCTGTCATCATTTCATCACGTAGATTTTATACATGAGATGATTGTACAATACCTCGACATTGTTTTAGACAGTTTAAATGATCTCCCAACAATTCTGTATTGTTTTACACCCTTTATATGATCTTCAAACACTTCTATATTGTTTTACATCCTTTAAATTGTCTATGTACACTTCTACATTGTTTTACATACATGGGATAGTCTGTCAACACTTTGGCATTACACTACATACATCTATGTACACTTCTACATTGTTTTACATACATGGGATAGTCTGTCAACACTTTGGCATTACACTACATACATGAAATAATTTGTCAACATCTCAACATGAGGTGATCAGCCATTAATTCAGTATTTTTCACATATATAAAGTTATCTGTCAAAAACTCAACATTGGTTTACTTTTTTGAAATGACCTGTGTCATCATTGTTTCAAATACATCAGATGAGTTTACTGCTCTGAAACATCGAATATTACAAACTGATACTATTAACAAGCTGCTTGGAATGACGGGAATATCAGTCTTGGGATACATTTTCTAAATATCTTTCACTGTATCCTGATGTCGTCTTGTCAGATCACCTTTAAGCACACCGAAAAAGATCATTGGAGCTGTACCGGGCTACTCTATCTGGTTGACTGGAATTTCTATAATTTAATGTCTTGTACGATTTTTCTCAGGATATTGATATTGAGATGTTATTGAAAATTTGTGAGCTTTTGGAGTGTGATCCTCCGATTGCTTCATATCCTTGTTTATTATGTTGTGTTACTAGTATCGGGAGATGCATGTGGTCTCATTGCTATTGCTTTTGGGATTGAAGGGTTCTCTTTCACAATTTTACCCTTTGTCTTATAGATAAATGCGTCTCTTCAGATCGTTGTTAACTCCTCCGCTGTTAAGGTTTCTTCATGTCTGTAGAGAAAACTGAAAGCTTCCGTCTTTAATGTTGTCATCTGGCTCATTATCATTTAATAATCTCGCTCTAAGAATATTTCTCATAGAAGAATTTTTTTGGGTTTTTTGCATTCCTTCATCCATACTTTTATATACCTTAAGGCATTACACTGTTGAATGGTCGGGAGTCTGCTTTGGTACCACGGCTTACATCTGTGGCGTGTTTATAAAAACAAATTATTCAAATAAAGTGTAGTTAACCATATTGAATAATTTAAGATATATTTATTGATTATGATACTTTGTCCTTCTCTATCAATGTAGAAAGTGTTGTGATACTTTAGTATGATAAGTAGGGTATTAGGAATAAAATTACTTTATAAAATGGTTATTATCACCAGGATTAAATGAAACTTTTGGAGTTGAAAGTGCTCAAACAAGTATACAGACAAAGCGAGAATTTAATCAGATTTATATCCAGTACGTTAAGTTAGTCTCTTGATTATGTACTACACTAATTGTAGCTAACTCTAGACGATAATTTAATCAGATTTATATCCAGTACGTTAAGTTAGTCTCTTGATTATGTACTACACTAATTGTAGGTAACTCTAGACGAGAATTTAATCAGATTTATATCCAGTACGTTAAGTTAGTCTCTTGATTATGTACTACACTAATTGTAGCTAACTCTAGACGAGAATTTAATCAGATTTATATCCAGTACGTTAAGTTAGTCTCTTGATTATGTACTACACTAATTGTAGCTAACTCTAGACGAGAATTTAATCAGATTTATATCCAGTACGTTAAGTTAGTCTCTTGGTTATGTACTACACTAATTGTAGCTAACTCTAGATTCTTGGCATCAACAAGTGTTGTCTTCATGGTTAGAAACCAACTGAAACTTAGCTCTTTTTACATTACGCCCATAAAACTTCCAAATTTTAGTGATTAATGAAATGTAGTTTGTCCAGTTGAGACTTAACTAATGATGAGTTGATGGAAACGAAAGTCGAGAAAAAATCATATAGTGTTTACAAACAAGCGTGGCAGATTTCTTAACCTAACATTCAAAAGTGTGATATAAAAAAGAAAAAAAATTATAATATGCGCCGACTCGACAAAGAGCATAGCGTTGACTATAGTCGACTCCGTCTGTTGGCCTTCTTTGTTAAGTAATGAGCTCTTGGCGAACGTACTTTGTGCTGGAATGTTTTAAACAAACCATAGATGATCCACCTGGGACTTAAAAAAGAAATAACTTTTGTGAAGTACTAATTTATCAAACACTGACACATCACATGTCATTAGAGGAGTTATTCCTGTAATTATAACTTTAAAAGAAATCCGGAATTCTTGTGTCTTTGAACCTTATATAAACTTCTTATTGTAGCATTCTTTTTTATTGTCGCTTTAGGCCTATAGAACATTAGATTAGTTATGCTTTTATCTCAATTTCTTCCTTGATATGCGACACACTATAAGAAATTGAATAAAAAAGAAGAGAAATAGAAACTAGAAGATAAAATTCCATTTTGTGAAGAGATCAATAACTTTAAGCCTTTTGTAACAAATATTTCCTGAAAGCACAAAAGAAGGTTTTCTCGAACCTCTGCTATAATACAGGAGGTGTGAAGCAGTAAACTATTTTTTTAATTGATGCTTCAGAAAATTATTAATTTCTAAAAGTACTAAAATGTTTTGGAAATTGGTGACAATCACAAGGCCCGGCATGGCCAGGTGGTTAGGGTGCTCGACTCGCACTCTGCGGGTTCGAATCCCCGTCACACCAAAGATGCTCGCCCTTTCAGCCGTGGGAGCGTTATAATGTGACGGTCAATCCCACTATTCGTTGGTAAAAGAGTAGCCCAATAGTTGGCGGTCGGTGGTGATGACTAGCTGCCTTCCCTCTAGTCTTACACTGCTAAATTAGGGACGGCTAGCCCTCGTGTAGCTTTGCGCGAAATTCAAAAACAAACAAACAAAAAACAAGACAATCACAAGTTGTAAGTAGCACGTCATTACAATTCTGATCACAAGTTGTAAGTAGTACGTCATTACTATTCTGAGCCTGTCTCTATGTAGAATGATCTCTTCAATTAAACCTCTTCTTCTCTGGCATAATTTATGTTACCTTGATAACAGTAATTATGTCGGAAAGACGACTTAATGTTTTTTCAGATAAAATCAGTTAGATATGAGTTTTCAGGTTATTGTGAATCATTTCTGTTTTACAACTTAAGCATTGCACTTTAACAGAGTCATAAAACTCTTAATCTCTGCCTTGAACGACTACTGTTAAAAACATATTACTAATTACCCATTTAGCGATAACATTTCATCACTTTTTTTTTCCTTTTTTCGATGAGGTTTATTGTCTTTTAATTCCATTCTTACAGACGTCAGTTAAACGCTCCAACAAATCATGGCTCTGCAAGCACGTAATACATGTACTACGGTAGCGAAAAGCTTTTATTTCACTCTCTTTTCCTGACATATGGAAGTTGTGATAGTAATATTTACCAAGACAAAAGACTTAAGTTCTTTCTTAGTATCATAAATTCAACTCCAAGTAATGAAGCGGACTCCAATCCTCCTAGCTGCTATTTTTATACATATCGCAGGGAAATGGATTTGTTGACTATATATACTGTTGCTTGTCTATAATTTATTGGCTTTATTCTGGCTAAACTTAATTCAACTCCAAGTAATGAAGCGGACTCCAATCCTCCTAGCTGCTATTTTTATACATATCGCAGGGAAATGGATTTGTTGACTATATATACTGTTGCTTGTCTATAATTTATTGGCTTTCTTCTGGCTAAACTTAATTCAACTCCAAGTAATGAAGCGGACTCCAATCCTCCTAGCTGCTATTTTTATAACATATCGCAGGGAAATGGATTTGTTGACTATATATACTGTTGCTTGTCTATAATTTATTGGCTTTCTTCTGGCTAAACTTAATGGGTATGATATCCATCCCGAATATTTTCTTTTTTTTGAAGTTTTGATTTATCTTAAGCTAAGTAATGCATTAACTCAGCAACTTTGAAAATTTCAAGATACCAGATCTGGGTCTTACAGTATGATGCTTATAAGCGTAATACAAACACAGAAGTTAACAAAATAACTCATGCTGTGGAAACCCTTTTAAGAACCAAGAAAAGGATCTTTCAAAATGTTGTGACCTTGTTGTTTGTTTTTTTTTCTTTTCTGGTGATAATTGATTGATGGAAACAAAACCACGAAGAACTAATGATTTTTTTTGTATAGAGTAAGTAAGGTGATACTGAAAGTCAGACATGTGTGGCTCAGAAGTTTTTAAAAGACAGAAAGCTAAATATGTATATGTGGTTTAAGAACCAGACATATCTAGGGTAGGGAATAGAATTTATATTAATTATTAGTTATTTAAAAGTACGTTTTTTATGCATTTTTCAGGCTTAAGATTCACGTGATATCATACTATGGTAATTGTTTGTGGGAAGTTACTCAATGGGCTAACTGTGCTCTGCCCACCACGGATATCGAAACTCAGTTTTTAACGTTGTAACTCCGCAAACATACCGCTGTACCACTAGAGGGCACTACAGTAATTATTACTTGATAGTGAACTCATGATATCCTAATTAATTAAATAAATCGATTAAATTGTTCCAGTAATACAAACAAGTATTTAATGTCAGTTAGAAGCCTAGTTTTAAAATGGAAATTCTACTTCTGTATATAGATATGTATCTTATTTATAAACTCCTTTTAAGTCAGTGCACATACTAAGAAAATTAACTATGCACTGACTACGTTTTATTTATTTTTTCTGAAAAAAGTCTAGTATTCGTGACTTCCTTTAGACAAGTTTAAATTTACTGTTTTGCTTTTGCTTATCTTTAACTTGTTTTCCAGCAGAAACTTACACAAACTGGAACATACTAATAAATGAAGATTGCCTTCTGAGAAACCAACCAATAATTCATTATGGAAGATTTGGGAAAGTATAACACCCTTCATTCGGTTAGTTAACAAACCCACACGTCTCTCTCAGAAGGATCAGATTTAGAAGTAGGTTAAAACCATAAACGCACTGAGTAAGAGAAAAACTAAGATTTGATGGCACTAAACCAGCGGATTTTATTTGTTCTTTCTGTCATCTCTTCAGAACTTGTTCGTTATGTTGACAAACGAAATGTTCACTGAGATATGTTTCAAATCGGTTAACGATGTTTCAATAAATCTTTATTAGATGGAATAACTTATCTCAATCTCATTACTCAAATACAATGAATTCATTCGTTGATAGAATCATCTTAACTTTCCAGTACAAATTAATATCAGACCTTTTTCTAGGCTCACTTTCCATTACAAATTAATATCAGACCCTTTTATAGGCTCACTTTCCATTACAAATTAATATCAGACCCTTTTATAGGCTCACTTTCCATTACAAATTAATATCAAACCCTTTTATAGGCTCACTTTCCATTACAAATTAATATCAGACCCTTTTATAGGCTCACTTTCCATTACAAATTAATACCAGACCCTTTTGTAGGCTCACTTTCCATTACAAATTAATATCAGACCCTTTTATAGGCTAACTTTCCATTACAAATTAATATCAGACCCTTTTATAGGCTCACTTTCCATTACAAATTAATATCAGACCCTTTTATAGGCTCACTTTCCATTACAAATTAATATC